TGGGTAAATAGCGCTAGAAAATTTGAAATACAGGTGCATAAAAATGTTCGTAATACTCTCGAATGATGCACAAATGTCAAACAAATAAAGTAGCATACATTTGAGTGCAATGTTCAATAAACTGGAGTAAACGTTCACAGCTGTACAACGACCAGTGAACGACGTGCACAAAAATCGAACCCGAAAGTAGCAACTTCCTATTATCCAGCAGTTCGCATCCACAACTAGTCATAGTCCAGCAACGGAAGTTTTGATGGAAACCGAATAACAACCGCCTTAGAACTGGCCTAATTGCATGCACGAAGCAGAACGATGTTTAATCGAAATGGGCTGAACATAGCAGTTTGGCACTGACATTGACTTTGAATGTAGATCGTAACGCCACCCCAGTTAATTTGGTTGGCTCCTGTATTCTCCTTCGTCTTCTTTTTTTGATTGAGCATTCTACTTCATATAACATTCTTCATTTCGTTGTTTTAATCAAAATATAGAGACAAAAACCCCCAACACGAGACTACCTGCTTTTAGATGTTATTTAGTCTCTGCAAGTTAATGTTGTCGTTGGTATCCTTCGATGCACATAGAACTGCACTCCAGTTTATCAGCCAGCTGAATGCATCTTTGAAGTAAGCGTACATACCAGGATTTATTTGTGCAAACAAATTTCGGGACAGCTTTTCAACGGCTTCGTGTCTCTGCATGAATTAGATCATGGGGCTAATCTCCAACTGCTCTGGTATTCGCATGCCTACATTTAATCAACCTTTGATTTTTGTTAATTCCCGTTTCCACTTTTCCTTCCTGTATCCCAAGTTTAAAGGCGACACTATTATTAACTATTTGCTGCGTTGAAAAATTATCTTGCTGTTATACAGGGTGTCCCAAAAAATGTATACACATTTTCGATAATTGTAAACTTGTTGCTTATTACAATTTTATTATTTCAAAAACGAAAACATATTTAACAGTGTCATTTTATTGTTTTTCACTGCATTTTGATTATTGAAACAGTGACTTAATTGAGAGAAGCCATTGAACATGAATGCACCCGAACACGAAGGGAATTGTTTTATGGTGTGTACTATTCCATTGCATCGCTTTGTCAGCAGTCTCGTGATCAAAATGAACGTCAGTTTGAGAACATTAATGAAAAAGGGCAATAAAATGATACTCATAAATATTTTTGCATTTTATAATAACAAAATTATGATAAACCCCAATTTTACAACTATGTAAAACGTATATACATTTTTGGGACACCCTGTATATTGATTCTGTGTAGATTCAAATTTCAGTGTTCTCGATTTGTTATCGAATTTATGCAAAGACAGGAAGCAGTTGAAAAGCTGTCCCAAAATTCATTTGTGCAAACAAATCCTGCTGTGTACGCTTGCTTTAAATTTGAACCTAGGAAACGATGCCCTAAATGCATTTGCCAATTTTATTAAAGCAAAGATGCTAACAAAAAACCCACCTCCCATATCAGTAGAGCTGGCCGTATTTGAAACTCCAGGGCGGGTCCATTTTCTCATGCTCTCCTCCTTACCCTTGCATTAACCCCAATATTTACTTCTTAGTGTAGCCCTATCTTTGCCATAACCGCAACCCTAAACCTTATCTCCCTTAAGTTTAGCGCAAGGCCACCTACCTACGGGAGAGGTTCATATTCCCCTGTCTTACCGTTTATTATGTCTCACATTTCCGTCGATTGTTCCTAAAATAATCAACCCCTTTTGGCTCCCCGACAGATCTGGATTGATTTTAAAAGTGCATGCCTTCTTCTAAAAATATCCCATTTAATGCGTAGATCCTTATTGCCCATTACGCTGTCACAAGCAACCTTCTTATGGTGACAAGCAAAAAGTCCTACGCCGGCAGCCGAGCTATTTGATGTGTGTATGTCTGAAGTTTAATCGGTTAACGGTTGTCTAACTCCCAACAATAAAAATGAATCGATTAAATATACAATTAAAAGGAATTCCCTGAATTTTGCTTCAGTGATGTGAGTCGAGTTTAACTTCTGCTTCATTGCAGAGCCCTTTAGGTACAGAAGAGCAATGATTACAAATACAGCTAAATTTGCCCCCTAGTATTTATATTCCAAACTAACATTCGCCCAGTACAGGTTCTTCAAGGCTGGAAGCATTTTGCAAACTCCCTTTTGACACAGTGGTGTCCAGGCTAAGGATGTGTTTTGATGGATTCTCAGTTACACTTTTTGCCCATAACTTCCTGTTTGTGTGTATGTGACAGCCCATTTCACGTTTATACATATTTGGCTTTCAGGCACAGAAGCGGCGCCTTCGCCCGAATATGTAAGCAGCAATTTTAAGAACGAAGCATCGACCACATGTGAGGTGAGTGTCATTACGACTCTTGTGCGTATATTTGTGGTAAGTAACTTGTACTGAATTCCCGTTCAATATCCAGGATCTTCAAGGACGAAAGCGATATGAAAAAGGATTAGAGTTGTTACCAAAACTCTAATGGAAACAAAATAAAATTGTAAAATTGTGTGTGCCATGACGAATTCGCGTCTGTCTGTGTACGTGTACATATCCGATTTAAAAGGTTTCTGCTGTACGTACAGCAAGATCACAGCGACCGATGCTCCTTATATTTTGACATTCTTATCAAAATGGACAGGTATTCCGCTCTTTGTCGGCAAGCCGAGGTAAGAAAACAGTTAATTCTAAAAATAAAAAGGCCAAAATGCCGAAATGCCTTACTCACTGCTCAATCGATAACCACTGATTCCAGGGCTAAGTACTTGCATTTGCAGCAATCTGTAGAAATGAATGAGCACATCGCTGTATTCCAGAGGTATACATCTGTTTGGTTTGCCGAATTATTATTAAACCTGACAAGTACTAGTTTTCTCGCCGTCACACAAAATTACTTAACTATTTGAGAATACTTACTGTAAGCATGGATTGCTCTCCATTTGGAGCGTCGTATGAAAATATTTTTCATGATAGGGTACTAAGATACAATCAGAAACTTTGATTTATCTGTAGCTTAGATGTTATCGAGTAAAACTGTTAGGTTAACATTTTTAGAATCGTTTATTTAATAAGTGACAACGTCGTAACATCTGCAAAGCCATTCATAGCTCAAAATAATTTTGACACTCAAATGAAGCATTAGTATATAAGTTTTAAAAGCTACATGTCTTATCCAGCATGAAACCCCACGAGTAATTAGACCGTCATTATTAAATGCTTTGCTCATACAAGACTTTTAAATGAAAGCGAGGGGGAAATTTCTGATTATGCCTTTTATCAGGACAGATAAATTTGGAAATCAACAATGCACCCGTGACATAGATGATGAGTCAACAAAAAGTCTATAAGCTGGAAGTGCAATAATAGGTCCTTTGGCAGATTTGAACTGTTCAGTCCACTTTATAATGAAGAACTCAGTACCCTCACGACATTAAGTGCAAAATTTTGTGTACGCCGAAGCCCCACTAGGATCCGTGCTTACAACCGTGGTCAACGAATGATTTTTCAAAATTGAGTCGGATTAATTAGCTATACATTGGCTTTCACGCATATGCCTATAAGCGATGGCCAACACTGTAAAACGCATGTATGACATAGATGAGGCGATATTCGCCATTGAAAATCTAATGAGTTAAATAATTCAAGATAGACAGACAAGTCGAAATGATTACGATTCCAATTGCAGTCGTCTCGTCCATATTATCCCTCGGTATTCATCTGAGTCTATTTTCTCTAACCTACAAATAGCCATAATTAGTGCTAAATTTCCCGTAAATTTGCAAAATCATCTTGTTTTTGACCTAGCTGAATAATAAAGATAGAAAAGGCAGTTGCAATTTGAAAGATAAGCGGAAATACCTATTAAGTTCCATGTTAATTTTTACTTATTGATCTTTCAGATTCAGATCTTGAGCTTTTTTCATCAGTACTATTCCAAAATATTCATATTTCTCGGTATAATACAAGTAGTCGTCTGTTTTTCGGTATCTTGGCTGCGAATCTGTACAGTAAAGATATAATATGTAGGCAAATCTTGTAGCCCACTAAGCCTTCGGGATTTTCTGCATTAATAGTTCAATCTTAGTCTGGAAGTTTATTGACAGGCTGATTTCACCCATGGGCACGGGCAACATTAAGTATTGGCAGTCTCCCCCTCCACGTTGTTGCTTCAAAATATTCTACCTGGTTCGCAAGAGCGCTAATGGACCTGACAGACACGTGCTTTCCCACCACACTCAACCCAAGCGGATCGTAGTTTTTTCTTCTGTAAAGTCATTCCCAAACACGGACATTATCTCGACTTACAGACATCCGATTTACCACTACGTTCACAACAACCACCAGCTAGCTAGCAGAAGATAACAACAACAACAGCAGCAGGAAATCAACTTTTAAACCGCCTTTCATCCTTCGTTTCACCTCCCCTCTTTTGCCCTCCTCGTCCTATCCTACTTAACAGGCTCCATTTGCGGATATTCACTGGCAGGCTTTTACAGTCTATGCGCACACCTCACGCACACAAGTTCATAAATTTGGCAAAGTTCCTAAATATCTCGCTCTATCCTGGCCCGATTTCGCGCAGAATAAAAGTCCACAGAAGGGAGTAAATGCCAAATGTGTAATCTTCAACGGTTCAGATAGGCCCAACAGTTCGCTATGATTATTCAAGAGTAGATGTGAAAGTTCGCGTTTTAGCTGCATGCATATTTAAGGGAGAAGGCTGGTCAAGGGGGTGCACCTCCTGTACTTATAGCCTTTTTGTCGCTGCCGCTGCTACCTCTGACGACGAGTTTCTGTACGAGTTCGAAAGCTAAGAATAATAAACAAATTGTTCTAGTGTTCGATCAGTCTTCTCCTTTGCTCACTATAAATATTAGTTGCGATACATCTTTGCGTGAAGCGTCAACTGTCGTCACTGTCTTTGTTGGGCAGATCACACATGATTTCCGGCTGCATCCTTTTCATGTCAGCTGCAGTAGGTACTGTTCTTAACCATATGAGAGGGGAACAGTGCAGAGGTTTCTTTTTCCTATTCTGCCGGTAAAGGCACTTTTGCACCTTCGCAGAAATCTTATAAAAAATCTCATAGGAAAGAACGAAAATATCAAAGGAATAATTCGTGCTCGCGCGGAATAAAGAAAATAAATGCTTTCTTAATCTATCCTAAAAACGAGTATAATATTTTTTCACAGGGGATATCAGTTCCAAGCAATAATCGGCGCAAATTAAAAAAATTGTGTTTGTCTTTTTATAAAATATTAATTAGTTCATTCAAGCCGGAAAAAAAACGTGAGGAATGTTTTCTAGCTCATGGCATCCAAAAAACTTAGCCTGCCATCAAATCAGTCTCAACGTTTTGTGGCCAGAAAAAAATCGCGAATTCGAGAAACGTACTAGATAATATGACAACTATGGATTGTTTTTTCACAGCAACGAAAAGTTACTTTGACGAAAGTAAGTGTCTCAATTTTTATTAAATCGAGCTTTAAGGGTCCAATACAATTTTCAACAGAACGCCTACTGTAGTCAGTGGATTTCGAATTAGTTAACGCAATCATTTTCGAAGTATCTTCGCCCGTTAATTAATTTAAGTACCGTCAAAAGAAACTTGCCCGTAGACTTTTTATGAAAAATCTTTAAACCGTGAGGCATCAAATGAAGACAAGATAAATCAACCCGAATATGCAGATAGTACTCTTTGCTTCCTGAAACCTTTCTGGAAGAAGGCAAACCTTTCGTCAACGTGAAAAAGTGAGGATTGGAATGGATTGGTTAAGAATCCACGAGCGTTCATCTTCTTGCTATGGCAATGAAACAGTATGGTTTGTCCTTATACAATAGGCTTCCAACGTTATCGATTTTACATGCAAAACACATAAATTTTCAGGTCATTTTCCGCTACGCTCAAAGAACCATAGTCTGCAGTGTTTTATGCCAGGTAGTTCCGTTCTCTTAGCTTCTCTTTCGTTTATGTTTGCTGTTGCGGACTAGTTACGAATGCAAAGTGAGCAAAACAGAATACCAGCGGATGATTCGGAACTTCTCTGTGATTGTAACGCAAGGGTAATTGCATTAAACAAGAACAATAACTAACGTTCGATAAACCATCTCAGTTACGATGTATTTGATGTACTTTTCTGCGTCAGGGGCTAGATCCAAGTGACAAGGCTTCGTTGTACAGGATGGTCGCCGACACGCGGGCTCCTGGAAAGATCGTATTTGTTGACAATAATTTTGATCGTCAGAGTCTTCCAGAGGGTGCCACTTCCGATGAATTTGCGCTCAGTCCAGTGGGTGAGTTCGGTGATGTTCATTAAGAACATTATGTCATATTGTCTCTTTTATCTGCATTTGTATGGCTTCAGTCATTTCAGTACGCTGACTTTTATACTAGTTCACCTCGAGTTTTTTTCCCCCTTTGCTGCTATTGCTTTGATTCTGCTGAACATAAGTTTCCGTATTTGAGATTTTTTGTTGACTTTTGAGTTGTTTCGGCAAGCTCTTGTGTTCTAAGCCTGTAGGTTGTACAACAGTAAAAATAACCTAAGTTTATTTAAGAAAGTCGAATTCATTTCTGTTTTATCTCATCTAGCTCAGCTATTACTCTCTCATGGTTATTTATCAACATAGAATTGACTTTAGCCGTCTGAGTTTTACCGTCGAGGAAAATAATTGCATCCAAATGAAGGGGTCCTTTGTACTCAGGCCGACCCTTCGCTGATAGTGCATAAAGTTCCAGTTTGTGGACACTCTTGAAGATGCGTAGAGGATTTATATTTTTTGACCGACGCGACCCAAACTCACGAAATCATTCTGATGAATACAAATT